AATTGAATTTGAGTTTGATCAAATGTAGCATTTCATTACAGTTGTCCGTGCTCATGATTCCCATTTCTAAACTCAGTAAATCTATTACCTTATATCAGCAACCCCGCTACCATCGGGCAGTTATCCTATTGCCCTATTTCAACGGCTGATTAGATACAATGTAATATATAATTCCATTAAAGTTATCGCAATTACCCTGTTCAGGAATATTATTAGAATGTTCAAAGAACTTTTTTGCTCCAATTCAATTACAGATGATCTGTTTCTAAGTTAAAGGCGCACCGACTTCGATTTCAAAAACGTCAATATAGACTCAAATGGTTCTTGGCTTAACATGTAAATGTCAAGTTACGCTCGCTTTTGGCTTGCTTTCGGGGCCTTACTTACTTTAAACTTTAAGAGATAGGTTTTAACTTATTTGCTTACTAACATTTTGCGCTTATTAGTAAGTAAACCGCCTCCACCACCTGCGTTCTTATAATCTCAATAACCTGTTGAATCCACTTCTTTCACCTTGGAATTCATCCGCATCCTGACTTTCACACGGGCGTACTCTACAAAATTTCAACTAGATTGTCTCACAATCTATCAGTCTACTCGTGATGCACAAAATGTAAAAATGGGCCTGGATTTTCCGCATAACCAATTTCCTGTCTGCTTTATAAAGCTCTCCAATTCGAAGCTGTCGTGTGCAGAACAAATCACCCCATCGAAGAAGCAAACCCATCCAAAATTAAGGAGAAAATACCCTTGAGCAAAAAGGTTCGACTTATCACGAGTGTTTCGCGCGCGACCCGCCCTGGATGAAACTCTACCACCCCAGGCGAAAATATGATTGAACTTAAGCACTTTAACATAGGTAACTTCAGGTGTACAGGCCCACAAATGGACAATAGATACTTTTCGCATCGGACGAGAAGGCTAAGCTGCAATGACGATTTCTTCGTGAGCATCACTTGAAGTGCAGTTACGCTATAAAAAAAAATAAACACTATGTCATTATTTTGCTTTTTGCGGAGCCAGGTGTCGCATATTGGTCGTCGGACTGATTACGAGTGGACAGAGCAGATCCTTTGTGTCACCAGATTTGTCGATTCTTGAAGGTATGTTGTTTTGAACATGATTTTTTTGTACGGCGTCTTTGTAAATCAGTTTAGATCCAATAGATAATTCGCTATTGTTAGGTAGTTCACAAGCGCAAACATACGTATAAATAAAAACTATAACCATATATACAAACACGTTCAGAGTGGTGCCTCATTGTATCGAGTTCATAATATTGTACCGGGTCATTAAATATCTGTATTATCGCGCAAGGTTTTTTAAAGAGTGTATCTGAAAGCATCCTAGCACGTGATATTTATAGCAGGTTCCCCCACATTGTAAGCAAACGCAGTTCTGAATGGGTTCGTGGAAGCCCTATACAATACGTGATGAAAGTCGTGGACCGCAAATGACGTCATGGCGTGATGACGGGAACGATGTAGTTTTTTCCTCGTGCCATCATTCACCAGCCCAATAGTCAGGTAATCAGCGTTGCTTCCCCGTTTCCAATTGCAAAAACCATCGGAAGGTAGGAGTGCGCACAAGGCTAAGGTACATTTCGAATTTTTTAACAGAAATCGGTGTTTCGATAAAGAGGTACGGATATTTATTACGTGCTGCGCGGTAACGGAAACAGCCGGTTTGGCTGCTGGACATTCCCTACGATTAAATCCTTACGTCTGATAGAGCGAACAATTATTGCTTTCACAATAGGGTCGTTCTAATGCCATCGTATCGTTGAGTATGACCATGTGTAGTACCCGCATCGAGACACTCGACACGATTCGTTCAGTGAAAATAGAGCATACACCGTCGTTTTCATATAGACGGTCGTTTTAGATACGTTTTTCAGATTTGACGAACTATATATTGTTTTTTTATAAATTATTTAGTATTTTCGTACTGTCAATGTGCAGGTTGAGAGTATTTCATACGCGTGCCGTGACGCTGTGTAAATCAATGAGTAAGGCATTATTGAGCGATGATTTCAACCGACTTACTAGTAAAGTATATAGACCATAAAGTATATATATACAATTACCAAGTTTTAGGACGCTTATATATATATATAGACGTCCTAAAATCTAAATAAAACTTCTCATAGAAATTATAATTCAATCCCGATGTTTATGATAAACAATTATCTACTTTATAAGGCAGCCTACAGAGTAGGCCATTCGCAAGGTCATCGAAATTGGTAACAATTTTAAATTAAATAGCTTAAAAGCAAAACTTTATAGCAATAGTATTTTCCACGAACTTACACTTCGAAGATAAACACGTTTAAAAATCTACTTACCCGAAACTTCCTAGGAAGCGATTCTTAGATTTCTCAAATCTAGAAATATCTCTCAAATTGTGTGTTTTATCTATAAAGCTTCTAAGTGGCCATAATAACAGTTAGATATGACCAATGGACACTTTTTCTTATAACAAAAGAAAACATAGCGAATTCCCTTCCCCAAATGTTTTTTGGTTCTTAAAATCGGAAAGAGAGGGTTCCTAGAACGGATACTCGTTTAAAAGGTGTCTCAAGGGTCAACCAAAGATTTGCCCCCGTTCAGAACATCAGCATTTAGCATTCGCTGGGGGATCAAAGCACTGAAAGATGTCTTGGTTGCAAGTAAGTCATTCCACAGGGAATTAAAATCCGAATCTAACGGCAAGGCAGCCTTTCCTCTATGTATGGCACATTAACTTTTCCACGCGATAGGGATGGTTGGATCACCGAAAGGGATGTGGTCGTTGTAATCACATTCAAAGTGCTTCTTCACAATGGTTTATCGTCAGGGTCTACATATTCCCCTCGAATGCTAAGATCTTGTTGCAATAGAATATCTAGTTCCTGCTGGATTAATAATAATAATTCAGCTCTACGAATTAGTTGTTACGAACCCTTGGTTCAGTCGACATGGCATATCTGGGTTGGCCTAGCCGCCTAGGTTATGGCCAGCGGTCAAGGGGATTTGGGGTTAGAAATAACTCGTTCACTGTCGGTGATAAAAATGTTAGAAACTAAGGAAGGAATAAGACAGTGATAGTCGTGTGAAATTTGCGGGTTTCAGAAAGTCTCCTTTTGTAGAACCGTCCCGTATTATTATCACTTCTAAATGAGCCAAATGACTTGTCTGAATTAGGGCACAATGGTAGTGAAGCGGTTTGTGAAGACTTTTTATAAAGATAATGCCTTTTGTAGGTGATTTCTACCCTGAGCCCAAAAAGTTTACTCAGTTTATAGTTGAAAAGAATGTATATCGCATTATTCTGTGACAAAATATGCTGGTGGCTGGCCAAGCTAAAAAGGTTATTAGAAATGACAATAATAAATTAAGCCAAGCGCAATCGATCCTCGAAGTTTGAATCTTGCGATCTAAGGTTGCTAGGTAGAAATTAGCGATAATCAGAGTTAATTTACACCCGAACTAAACCACAATATTTTCTAAGGTGTTTTTTCCGCGGATTTTTTCATTAGACAACAAAGAAAAGCCAGCATCAACTGTGACCGTTCAATTCCGTCGATAGGTTCGAATCTTAGATTTCCGGTAATCCAGTTTCTAAATAGTTTATCGGGCCTTTAGCAATTCTTCGCGGCGAGACAGACATATAATCATTCGAAATTTCACACATTTTTCAATTAGCTCAAAAAATACTGTTATAATTCACAGCACTATTCGAAGAGCAATACGATATTTTTAAACGGATGAACCAAACACGGATTTTCAAAAAATCGTATCTAGAATACATTTGTCTCTTTAAATCGCCCGGATATCTGTCAAACTGTTCCCGACCCACCATCAACTTGGTGGGTTCGAAAAAAGAAGAATCCTTTTTGAATCGCGGAGCGGTTCTCTCTGATTGCTGGCGGTAGGGGTTTACTTAATTTTTGCTCAACGTGCTAATGTGTGCCTCTCCAAGAAAGCTTAGCTTATTTTTCTGCTTTTTACAATCACATACAAAATATGGTATACAGTCATTCTGGCAGAACTGAACGTTGTCTTGTCTAAGTACGAAAATGCCCTTCTTTCAATACACAAAAGACACTAAGTCAGCATTGACAAGATACAGCGGTGAAATTTTTCTAAAGTCGTAAAGGCTAGAACATTTGAAAGCTTAAGCTCGTCACCTAAAAAGAAATTTATTTTTATCTTGTCTGCTTGTTCCAATGGAAATACGTTGAGGGTGTCGGATCGGTTAAACATAATCTAGTAGACCTTTTATGCCAGAATATATATTCAATTGTAATAAAACTCTGACATTTCAAGAAGGTAATTAATTTCTCGCGAACGGGGAACGTTAAAAAAAAATGTAGGACGTAAGAGATTATTGTTGTAAGAAAAAAGCATATGGTAGATGACTCGATTTGCAGAAGCAGTTATCAGAGGTCAGCGTCTGTTGGCTACTTCCTGTGTATGACAGGTCTTTATGCCTATGCGGCGTAACGGCAATGAGCCTTTAGCACCACAAATATAGACACGCCTTATTTAGTTGATGTTTCGTTGACCATATTACCAGTGCTCTGAGGATATTGACTTTACCAAAAACTGGGCAGAAGAACTAAAATATACGACTATCACTTGGTCTACGCAATGTGCATAGTTGTTATTTAGACACAATCCAAAAACAAAAATGACTTTCACGATGTTATCAGTGGGCTATATTTGATTAAACATAAGGCATTACCAATGGAGATTACGGTGGTTGCGGCTTAATATGGCGGTTGTATACTGTTCTGCAATACCAATTGATTTCATAATTTTGACAAACGCTTATGTGTATACGATTTTGGAGCGATAAAATGCAGCTGTCCAATAAATAATGTGGAATAGTTTATGAATCTCATAAAAATCCTGTGTAGGAGGAATCGTAGTCACATAGTAACGTGTGGAGAAGGAACACAACAAGTACATAACTGGCTAGAAAGCCATGCCTGTAGACGTAATCGATGTACCACGTACCAAGATGCGTGAACAGATTCCGTGCAACAGTGAGTAGACTCTGGCATTCTTCTCGGAGCCGTTTTTCCTCCTCCCAGGCCATTGTGCGTAAAAGTTGGGGCGAGACGACCGTCATGCACTCGGAAACCTGCAAGGAAACTTAATTAAAATAAGCACACGTACATCCATATATATAGACCACTTTTGACTTTCTCATCAGTCATTGATCGAACCGATAAACGATCATCGAAAGCTGGCCAGGTCTATGTAGAATTCACAGTAAACTGTAAATAATCGTCGAGTTAAAATGCTTTTCCAGCATGTTCAACGCTGACCTTAGATAATGGCGTAGCGGTAATATGGCCTTTTGCCATTTTGCCAGAGGAAGTTGAAAGTAGTGTTTATCAAAAGGCAAAAAGTGTTGACGGCACGATCGCTCATAATCTAGTAATTAAATAAATGCCGTCGGTAAGACATCCTACGCCTATTCAATTACGTGTACGCTCAGCAAAAAATAATGGAAATGACTAAACTGTGGTTTTATGAAGGAACGGTTGTCTTAGGCGTCAAAGACAACATCAGCTTGAATACGATTCCAAGATTTGGGCCAGCCAAAAGTGAAGACAAAAGAAATCGTGAAATATGCTTTTATCAAGATAATATGTTATTTTATGATAACTTAGGTTTCAGGCAGGTTTTTGGCCGCGATATGCCAATTATATAAATGGTAAAGGCCCGTGTATACGAATGTAATGGTACACCACGTCTATTAGACTGAAGATATGCGTTGAAGTTAAGAATAACAGTTTTTAACTGAGAGAAATCTAAAGGTACGATAGCTTCAGCAAACGATATGAAACCTCAATGCAATACATGGTTCAAATCGGGGCAATATTGCCACACTCAAGTGAAGCGATTGCATAAGGCGTGACCTGATAGCTTAGTACGATCTTTAACTGACCGCATCTTAAGGCTATGGCGAATTTTATTGTATTTTAATGGATGCCTCCTTAAATTTTTTGAACATGTAATGCTCTCTGAGTTTCCTTCGAACACCAATGGGCGACGAGGTTCAGTATACGATTGGCTCTTTTTAAGGCGTACACGAACTTGAAAGGCCCGTTCGGAAAGCTGGCGTTTTCCAAAACGTTCACTACGACCCTCGTAATCGACCTGGCATTGGCATACCTATTGAAAAAATGTGGGGTAGTTACTACATCTACGTAAGTGGCCATTTTTCTGTTGTCGGTCTGTGCGACACCAATAGAAATTTTACAATGTAAATGAGTTATAGTGATTACTATGGCATAAAAGATAAGAAAAATGATTAGCTTCGTACTAAGATAAGAATAATAAGGAAGACTATAGACTAGGATGATCTTCATCAGGTTGACGGATTCTCAGTGACAAAAAGGTGTATATGTTATGACGCTTGGTATCGTTGCATCCGTTCAGCAATAACGTGCTCTATTTTTTTGGATATTTATTATTTTTGGAAGTTACTATTATTTTCATGCTAATAATAGCTAATTGTCATAATTTATTTAACCAATCGCAGCAGTTGGCGATTCATGTATTTATTTAATCGCTGCTGTCCATTGATTTGATTCCATCTGTACACTACATAACGCCATGAGAATGTTTCATAGAAATCCCACTAGCATAACACCGCATGCTTTTTCGTCGGCACAGTCCGCGTTGGATCGCCTGTTCGATGTTTAACATGGCACTTTCTGCTTTTATCGTTAGGATCTTCTCATTTGCTTGCGCCTGTTAGGAAGGCCTACTCATACTGTTGGCTTAGAAATAGAAGGAATATCCTCCGATGATTAAGCTAAATGAACAGACCTGAACTCGATCGTCGTCGCTGAAAGCGTAGTCGCCCGATTGGAGCGAGCCTTCTTTCGTGGCATTGTCGCTGCTCGGCTCACTCCCACCGCCTTTATTGGCTAAACATGCGATCAGGGTTAACCGGTCGGCATTGGTTGGATGAAAGATTGGAACCAGTAGTAATGTTACGAGACTGACGCCGATTAGGGTTGATAGCTCATCACGAGCCGCCTGTAATAAAAACGGCAACCGTCATAACAACAATGACAGTATAGCTCTGTAGTTTCGAATCATAAAAGCCTCAGGCACTGTTTGGCCATCGCACACTAATGCTAGCAAGCGTTCGCGAGCACGTGTTTAAATGTTGTCAGCTATACACGTTTGTAAAGGCTATGTTCATTTACGATTAGTGGATACCTCACACGTCTCAATCGACCGGTTCTTAGCCGGTAAGAAATCAATAAAACGACAAAAAAAGTAAACATTTGTTCGTTATCCTCCACCGTCAACAGCAACGCCATCGTGTGTCTTTGTTAATATCAGCTTGACATATTTGATCGTGCAGGTTATTTGTTCTTAAGAATATTCCATAACACGTTATAGGCTCCGTACTTTTTAGATGATACGATACTATTTTTCGTATAAGCTACGCGCGGAACGTTTGTCATATCACGAGTTAGGTTTACTTGTGTCTAGCTTAATTCTTACTTACTTAATTCTTACTTAATACTTGTGTCTAGCTAATAGACATGAATAGGACTATCCTTAACGTCCCATATAGCAATCAACTGACAAATTTTCCATTTTAGTTTTTAACATGCCTAATACGTGTGTATATATAATACTGCACCAAGTGTAACTGTGTTTAAGAGAGCTTCGTGATGTTCCTGTTGTAGGCCAAGGACCGAACTTTTAGAGTAAAAGAGTCGCAGCTTCTAATAGAGGATACGGCAAATGCGGCCGACCAAAATCTCATATGGGACATAAGAGGAGTTTACACTTGGATGTATACTCATTTTCGTCCCAAGTAAAGAAGTATCGTGATTAAACATGCTTCAGAATAGGTACGTTGTGAAGCGCAGATTTCAAGATGAACCCATTTCATTAATAGATTTTTGTCTTTACCTTTGAACCAGATTTTTAAAAAGTTGTCGTTATTTTTTGTCGTACAATCATATTTTACACAACCGCGCTCTAAGACAAGATGGCATTTATTAGAACGGTAAACGACCTGGCTGGCAAGATATGGAGCGAACTCTGTGAAATTCGTTTATTAAAACGGCGCCCGAAGCGTGGCTGAAAAAACACATTGTAAATCATTGATGCACACATTGGATCTGGAACGTGTGTTGATAGACGCCAAGGGGCTGACGATCTACCTGTGGAATAGAATGATAAAGCATGGAAATGAATGTTTCATATGATACCCTTATTCATCGCGCGTATCTGTATAACATCTAATGTTATACAGAGAGCGAAATACTCGATTATTGATATTGCTATGGGGTCGTAGTATGATTCTCTATGTCAACTCGTATGTTGCCCGTCGGTGCGTCAACAGCGTATAGTCTCTGAGTATGCGTACTTAATTGTTCATAATAATGGGATCGTTTCGGTATACTGGTTGTAGGCAGCCGTAGAGATCTGCGGTTGGTCTCGTGTGGCAAGGTCAGCGGCAAAATTCGTACGATAAACCCGTCTACTTCCTATCCTCAAGCTGCTACATTCAGGTCTTTAAAAAAAAAAATGCAAAATGTGACCGTGACGATGACCTGCTATGTGAATAATGACAGATAAGTTCTTTTTGTACAGATTAGAGTAACCGTTAAAATCAATTTATATTACATATAATGCTGTAGAGACGTGTATATCGCTTCAGCAAGGTTATCCAAGCCACCAAAATTGTAATGTTTTCTTCAGCTTCTACAGCTAATAACGATTATTATTATTATTGTACATATATAAGCTGCTAGGAGTCAACTAGAAGAAGACAAAAAATCTCTGCCCCACTCGCTAGCTGCATAGTTCAACCACAGTGAGTTGGGCCTTTTCTATGCCCCTTTAAAAAAGAACCAGGCGAAGCTATCGTTGCGTAAAAGACGTACGCAGCTTCTGTAAAAGGTTTCTCCTCCTTATAAGAAGGGTATTGTACTTGAGTTCTACGGTCACACGTGGGAGACGAAGCGTGAATTAAGAAAGCAACTTTGTAGCTGGAGTCATTGAAACATAACAGCTGGCAGCAAACCCCTGAGAATAACATTCTGTTAGAAAAATATCGGTGTATTTTTCTATTCCCACTTGTGTTACTTTTCGTTCAAGTGGAAGAAGGGTATTAAATAAGCCATTTCAGTAGAGTCTTCAGTGGATGAAACTCAGACGTTCCAAGAAAGTTCGATGCCAAGGAGCGCACGCAGTGGTAATGACTGCCAAGCACAACGTCGACAAAGAAACTCATTTGCAGACGGGAAGTTTTTGTGCTTGAACACCTGAATAGGGTCGGCTCGGGTATAGATACCACATAGAAGCTACCGTAAGAGTGAGTATGAGTGCGGCTTAAAATTATTTTTATGGATGTAATGATTTTTACATCCCACTAACCGATTGGATCTCCGTAATAATAGCTGGGTTGTATCATATGCGAAGGTCAAAGGACCGAAAACTATTTTTTTTATATATGTTTAACTAACAAATTTGTATGTCAAAGGTAAGAATTACATGAATTGATAGTGGACTTAGATTTTCAACGATAGAAAAAAATTAAAACGATAATTTTCTATCCATATTTCCAAAGCTCAGCTCATCAGCACCATCTCAGGTGGCTTCGATAAACTGTTTCCTTTTGAACATTGGACTTTTCTAGTTATAATAGTACTACAAGAAGACGCGACGCTCAACACGAATATGTTGGACACTTTCGCCTACTTCAATACACCACCTGCGTATATTGAAGCAGAAATTTGATTGTTATGTTAAGATTCCACGTCTAGAGAATACATTCGCTGCACCTGGTGCCTTTTACGGCTCACGTCGTTTTGCTTTGTACTATCTGCTTGGGGCGGAGCGTCATCGTCGCCGGCTGCCTATCGAAACTCTGGTATCTTAAGCGGTAAATTTTAGTCTTGGAGACGAACGAATGAACCGTAAATGTGCGATCCAAAGAATGGTTACCCCTTCAAACAACGACCGTCGCGTCACCGATTGTCGGCCATAATAGTCAGAGATACGGAATGATTGCTTTCAATACATCGTCATTCATTACCCTCATCGCAACGGTCATTGCGTCCGGCAGTGCAATGCCATGACGAAAAAAGCAGCGACCCCGCACTGTGCCTACTGTGACGAGGCATTCACTAAAAACAACGGTAAGCCTAAAATAACCACTGCATTGGCCAACCTCAAAGGCGCGCATGCTTTGATTGAGGTCACCCCATACATCCCTTGGCCGCCCCTCACGAAAGTCGTGTTAAATAACAGTGCGTCACACGTTCTCTGGCACATACGTCGCCAGACAGAATTTTATTGCTGATTACGGTAGCAACGCAGTCAAAAAGGCTTTCAAGGTCGCTCCAAAGCCCTTACAGCTCAAGCAGCAGAGTTATGGCGGCTAACTTCGCACTTGGCAATGACCGTTCGTCTCTGTTATGAGGGACGCATTCATTTTTAGAGACTGCATGTAGAATTTCCATCTTAAAGGGTCAACCAGGTGGTAGAATATCTTTATGTACGAGCGTTACGGAGCTAAGACGTCTGTCCAATTTATGCGTCTGTTACACTTGTTAGCGTTTATCATGAGGCAGCGCTGGCAGGTACATACCCATGAATTTGTTTCGGTGCATAGATGTCGTTCGAGCGCAAGGGCTGTGGTAAATAAAGAGGCGAAATCAATTCCAAGACTACGAGAATGTATGCGTAATTTGTTATAAGACCTTACCACCCCCAATATCATAAATGAGTCATCCTGCTTATATTCAAAACAAAGATCGTTTGTCTCGATCTGTAGAATTCATTCCATAAGGCAAGTGGAAACATAGAATCACCGTTAATTGTTTTCAACATACCTAGTCTTTGTCTAAACGGCTAGAGTTATTAAATGAGGCTTACATTTATCTGTTCCCAAAAGCGACCAAATTCTATTCAAATTTTTCATCCAAAGGACCTGACATTTCGATACAATATTATCGGCCCTCTCGCTCTGGCCTGGCGATAACACTCTTCTCTAGAGTTATCAGTTCACGGGTGCTCAGCTTCACTTAAACAACGATGTTAGTCTATGTGATTATTAAGCACTGCAAGACGTACTATAAGTTAGTAACCGTTTTTGATTTAGAACTACAGAGGTTGCTTAGCCTGATGTATAAGCCCAACATCGTTTGCTTTAAACGTACTCAGTCATAATTTATCTGCTTCGTCTGCTACTGCCTACTTAGTAAGCTATTTTCAGTGCCAAAGTCTTCATTACACTTTTTGTGGCTGTCATATTCCACAAAGAAAGGCTGCCATGCTGTAAGCTTCCAAACGGACCGGAGTCCACTCGTTATATGCACATTATTCCTTCGTCAGGAAAGAAGTACGATCAGAGCAACTCGCCAAAGACAGTAACGACGAGAAAATCGGATTTCGCCGTCAAGCAGGCGTAGAAAGAACTACGATATCATAGGGGTAAAAAAAACACTGGTCCATGCAACGCTAGTTACTCGGTGCATGATAATACTGTCTGTCTTACCAACTTACTTAAGCAGTCAATCCTAGCGAGAAACCATAGGACCCACAAAAAAAGAGAGATATTGCGCCTAGTTAAGGGACGAGCGTACCACCGCTTTATTATGACTGCACTTGCACAAGACTGTTTGTCAACAACAATGCTTAAAATAGCTTCACAGGACGATAGAGAAAACTTAAATAAAAACATGCAGATTTTTGCTCCCCACTCTCGAAACCGTTAAAATGCCGTCAGACATTAGTTAAATAGATTTTCTTACTATTAGTACGCTTGTGCGCATTACTCTGAGCGACCACAATCATAATTAGTTAATAAAAGAGGACATAATTAATTTAGGCGTTTTCTTTCTTAAATTTAAGCCTGTACCTATCGTCAAGCATTAGCTTACTCCTATCTGATTGCACCTTAGTCAACGGGTAAAATAATATATTGTTGAAAGAAACAAACAGCTCATAACGTAATAGAAACCGTTCTGTAGAAACAGCTGGCAAAAAGTCGAAGGATAGCCTTTCAGCGTCACCTACTGCATTAGCGTTACTGCTGTATGACGTTTCTAAGAAAAAAACAATATTAAAATAGTTGTTAATATGTATAGCAACTTGGACATAAATAAGTCACGTATTACCTTATTCCTCATCGTAGGGCAAAATATAGGTAACGACATGGTTAAAATTTTTTTGCTGATTTCTCTTGAACATTAGTTGGTAGTCGTTTGCTGCCATCTCGCGTACCTACTGGAGTCGAAATAAACATTTGTACGTCGACCTAACCATGCTACCTCTGTATCCTATATTCTTTAACATTTCCTGCTAAGTCAATGTCCGGCTATGGGAAACCACAACTAGCCTTCAATAATTGGTATATTTTTTCTTCTTACATCTTGAGACAGGCAGTGGTGGCAACAACATTTCAGCTGTCGTAAATCACCGTTTTTCCGCGAAGTTCGCTCTTCATTCTAGGACTGTTTAAGTACTCCTCAGAGGATCAATGCGTAAGGTACGGCTTTAGCAGAAAATACGGTTTTAAGAAGGCGTTTAGCGACTCGACTTAGCTGAGCTGCTTCGCTGCTTTTCTGAGCAAAAGGGCCCCAAACCAGGACCGCGAATACGACACTCCGATCGTTTGGAATTCATTCGGGAAATGATATACCTTGTAATGAGTAATACTTAACAATATAAAAGCTCAGCGCTTAAATATAAACGAAGGATTAAGGTCTACGACAAATTGCAATTATACTCAAAAGTTTCCGAATTTTTGTAGTACCAAACTATTTTTTTGGAAAATACTGATTTTGATGATTGGAATAATTAGAGTGTACAGTTTGTATGGTAGTACTAAAATCATCGATCCGACCTATTACTATAGAGCTAGATCGAAGCTCCGACATTGCAGCACCCTATACTCGTGGCTTGCATTGCAGTCAGTTAAAATTATGTCTTCTGAATATATACAGTGGCACTTATTTCCAAGGGATAAAAATATTTCCATATGCCATTTAAATGGACATGTCGTTTTAATATTCCAATAAGGATAGACTTATTTACTTTAAGCGCACTGCAGAGACCATTAACTCTCTCGCTTTACAATTACTGAACAGACATATTTCGGACATGTCCTATATTTTGTCTTTTCTAATAGCGCAGATAAAGCTGACACACAGTCAGTATACAGTACGACAGCAGAGTTGCGTCGGGTAGATGTTGATATCGTTTAAAAGCTGAAATTTGGACGCTAAGAATGTGCTAAGATTGGCATGCCTTTAGTCCGATGTAAAATAGAACATTTTGAAGATCGGTAACATAGATAGGTTACCTCGTTGGTTATATTTAAAAATGTTATAGGGCTATAGGGCGCAGATGGTGCTCGGGTTCGTACAAATATTCGCCCCTTATAATCGAGGTGGGCGATCATCGGACGCAACGGCTCAAAGATGGTTCTGTTAATTCATTGTAAAAATGTTTATGTGAAAAATTATCCTGTTACTGGTCGGCCAATGTACAAATAAAGGAGGATAAACTATATGCTTGATGATCTGTGACGAAGTCCACACTAACGCCAGGGGAAATGATACTCTGCGCTTGGTAGAGCTGAAAAAGAATTATGCATTATGAGCAGCAGCTGCACCTTGTCAAAACGATTGGTATTGACCTTTGCGGTCAATAACGAGCATGATTACAACAAACTACTGAAATAAAATTCAGCCGAACTGGAAAATTTCAATGCGTTCGCCCTATGGCTTGAATCTTGACCTATCAGATTAACGTCTGTTTCGGTTTCTGCAGAACTCCCTAAAGGTGCTACATCAGTCTAAATAGGAAGATGCAGAAGCGCATTTGTCGCAATTTTTTTTTTGTCTGCAAACCATAAAACTTCTACAGTGATGGAATATGCCGATACCAACAAATGGCAAGAGGTTCTCCATTAGAATGGTGCATATCAATACTATTAGTACCGTGTAAAATAAAAATGTGTATAAAATATTTGCTAATTTAGCTTAAAAACGGTTAATATTTTTTCGACAACGCAATAATATTCGGTAAGAATCTAGTTGTACCGAAATTTTCTATGTTTCAATACGCTTTTTAACATCCAACATATTTGTATACTTTTTTGTCGCACAGTCATTTACCTTCTCTCTTCTTAGCCATATGTTATTCTTGCAAACTTTCTAAAAGTAGGTCGCATTAACATCTAGCTTCTTGAAGGAACTGTCGTCCCCTAATGTTTCTAGTATATGATGTGTGTGTTACACAAAGCGGTCGAAGTTCCAGATGCAGGTCGTTTATGTACGACCACTCGCTCCACACAGCTTCATCAATTTCTAAGGAATGCCGAGAAGTCTACGAAGCGTAAACGCACGTTTATACTCGGTGCTCTGCTTATCGATATAATCTAGAGGTCCCAACTGTCCAACCGTAAGCGTGGCAGGAATGAGAAATAATGCATACTGCTATAGGTCAGGCCATCGTTCCTATTCGATGTCGACCTCGATGCCTCGAAACGAAAAATCTGTCTACTATTGTCGAAGAGATAGACCGAGTGTATTGTTATTTAGTACAATTCTTTTAGTTACATAAATTTTATTACTATGTATCGCTATGTACTGTTCAATTAGTACGTCGTGAAATGCTACTATCATGAAATGAAAGTCGAAACGCCGTTGGAGAATTAACTGATGTAAAAGTATATGAACGCGTTTCATTGTTATTTAATCAGTTTCACTACTGTGTGTTAGAGAAGCTGGATTTGCGGCATGTAACTAAGTCCGATTATATAAACCTAACCTAAATATCTTATTTATGTGTGAGATGCTTCATAGAGCGTATAAGGTTAAACAAAAAGGATACCAATACTTCTAGTTGACCCGTGTCTTTGATTCGGAAAAGCAGCTTAATTAAAAACAGATGATTTCAATCAAGCCTAACTTAGAGGTGCTAATAATTCTTCGAGTAATGCGAACAGGAACTACGCGACTTCATTGATTTCTACATAGTCTTAATGTGAGTCCACGTAGAAATAAATAATCGCTTAAGTAATTGTTCGAGCTTCGACAAGCATATTTCACAAGTCGTCTTCGAGTCAGACTCCATTGTTTTTTCGTTCGTTTTATGCAATGTAATACTACAGTTTTATTGTAGCGGCTATTTCCTATTGCTAGGATATATAGTATTCGCATCTTAGAAATGGCTGCAAAAAGGTTTGTGGACGGGACCAATTCAAGGCGCGGTAGTCCCGCGGAGCCGATTTTGCTAAGGCCGACAAATTATGCAGTCCTAAAGATTTATTGATATACTGTTACATGAGTCTCACCGTTGAGACTGAACGCATAACGTTTACCTTCGAAAACACATAATCTGACAGAATAATGAGTACCATCGAAGATGAGTAGTGAATCATAGTGTTACTACCAATTTCGGCCGAAAGTTGGCATGAGATAGAAGACCGTGTACGCTTTAGAATAACAACAAATGATAACAAGGATAGCAGTATACAATTTACCTCTTTCGGCTGAGCATAATCTAATTTTAGGTAGGACGCCTCAATTTTTTTTCTAAGCAATTAGATTTTGTTAGCAAATAAATTTATCTATGTACGCTATGGTCGTTCGTGGAGAACTTGTAGCTTTTCTCCCAACCCATAGTCATTTAACAAACCCCAAGTGACTATGTCAACACGTCTACAATAGCCGACTAGACGTAAAGCTGCTTTAGCCTTAAATGTTCTTTATTTACAAAATTGTGTATGTAGCTTTCAGAGATGAGAGACAAGTATGTAACCTAAGTGGGTTGCACAGGTTACGTTAACAGTATCACTGGATTTAAACGATTTCAACAATAAGTGAAAAATGCCTGGCAAAATTCGGCTACTCAAATACTGGAACGTGTCTTTTTTGATGATATTGTGGCTTATTTCTTTGAAAGCCATTGCAGTTAAATACGACCTTATATAGCGGGGCTTGTCAAGATACCAAACAGCGGGAAAAAAGCTTAAGCTTATTAAAGCTTCTCGAGGTCAGTGTACTAACTCACCTGCGGTACATCGTTCAGATTTAACGGTTGGCGTTGCTGCAGGACCGCAATAAGCTGGGAACCGTACGCCTGCATGGAACATAAATGCACAAAAGTATCATCAGTATTATTACGATTCTTCGTGATTGTGATAATAGCATCCAAAAACAAGAAACCTATCATTGTGTAACAAGATTGAACTGGTTTATAAATATTTAAGTGTTAATTAATAAATAATAAAAATTAAATTGATGCTAAACCTCCGCATTCATATGCTTTTTCCTATCTATCTCCTTTTTAAGAGCTGGCTTACTGGCAGAGCTAGGTCTGGATAGTTGAAGATAGTAGACAAAAATCTACTGTAGGAGAAGTATTTCGAAAACTCATGGGTAGCTTTAACTTAGTTTATTCAAAATATATCATTAAATAAAAAATCGCCTGTTCGTCAAATCAAAGAGTTTCAAAAAATTGCAAAAAGTCTGTCAACGACCTAATGCTAAGCGCAATTTCTAGGTGGGTCTACGTTTACATCGTTTCGACTCGAGTCACTTCATTACCAGGCAAACGTTTTGCCGAAGAAATTAAGTGCTAACTACAGGAAGAGATGGCCTCGTCAAGTAAAAAATCTACCTACTGTACAATTACCCTATAAACTTTTTTTAGCTTTTAGGTAAACCATTGTTTCTAATAACGTCGCTGTAGAATACCCCGTCTCAACTCACCCGAGGGTTTATTTAAATTTTTATTTATGAATTTTCTAAAACAAAAGCCCGAAGATAAGAGCTCACATTAATTTTAAAAAGTGGGATATTATAGTACAGTTGGTTTGACATTCCCTTCCCTTGGCGTCAATGAGAACCCGTTTACCCCCTACAGGCACTAGAGAATTTAAATAGCCTCATTTCTGCAGTAACAGATTTAGGTTTTCTTTACAGCTCCAAGGTGATTGTAAGGATTTTCCTTAATTTAAAAAGATCTCCTTTCATTATTTTCTGGCTAAACTCAAGAAGCACTATTTAAAATTACTTTCCTGATCTGTAACTTCTTTTCTTTAACAAAGTATGAGCCGACTAAGTTGAACTGCGGTTTCATGCGACTCTAGTATTGTTCTCTTCGAAAATGCTTGAAAACACGCAAAATCTGCAAAATTTTGTCGATCTATTTTGTACTCACGTTTAGATTGCTTACACGTTGTCTTCCACAAAATATGAGCTATATGACCTGTAAGACATTTTCTCAAGAAACGCTGAAGGATTGGTTTCCCCTGGACGAGGTCAATTCTGACGATCGGAAAATGTTCAGGTAAGGAAACGAAGCAGTACTGACGGAATTGTGACCTTGATTACTACTTGCACTAGCCATATTATTATTTTAGGCTGCACGATAATCAGTTATTATTGCTTATCGTGTATACATACGTGTTGTTCAACAAATGACATAACAAGAATGTCCACAGCATATACTTGAAAACAAACAATTACGGATGCGGGAACTCGATAGTATTAGAACACATTTCCTGTTAATTAACCGAAGCATCCGAAAAACTATCATAACTGAACCCCTTTTACGTATATTTCAAATGAATACGCATTTTCGTTTGTCCTAATATTGTAACGTAGCCTGCGGGACGCTAAGTATTCCAAGCAAAGGACAAGCAGCGACTAATTTATTGCTAATTACGAATACCGTCGCATTTAATTGCTTTCATGTGATAACTACGAATGATTGTGTACGCAGTGTAGTTCCAACGCAAAGAGCTACTGTGACTTTTTCGATTTTGTCAGAATGGGTTGGTTTTTTATTTCATTGACAACTGCTTTAAATGCCGGCAGCCATTACAGCCGTTCACTTTGTTTCCTCGGCCTTTTTGTTCTCGCGTAAATGTGTCTTATAAATGTGAGCGTCTAGGATTGGCTGGCTGGCTGCCTGCCTTCACGAGATGCAAGGACTGGCATAACTTCGAAAAATCCGTGATCTATGAGCTCGTGTTAATTCCAATTGATGACATGCGCCTGACCTAAAGAACGCTCTGGAACCAAGCTAATCGTATGGTACATCAATGCTCGTACTGATGCACTTGTTCGAATAGCCGGCGAAGAAAGACATTGCTGTGTTGGCGCAATAGGCAACTCGTAGACGACTGATAAGAAGTTGTTTATGAACAAGCAAAGAGCCTTCGCAGCCCCGTTGGGTTTCATTTAGTGGCCGAAGCACAATTCCAGTGAGCACGTTAACAGCTCATTGCTGAATGGTTTTAGCTAACCGGCTTAACCAAAAATGCCCAGAAAATGGTTATAGTAGTATAACAAAGGCCGCGCGAATAAGGCCAACAAATGGGCGAACTTCAGAACCGACGGGTAGCTCTGTGGTTGGGCGATTGACTGCAGATTAGATTTTGCAGGAAAAAAGGCCAAGCCCATGCAAGGTTAGGTCATAAATGCCAATCCACTTAGCGGAACTATCCACCACCTGAAAGGGTAAGGTTGCACACGATGCAATTAGCGAGTACAACAAACTCGCTAATTGCATCGTCCTGTACCTCTTCCTGTCTCATACATGCCGCTCTCTTAACGTAGCACATTTTATAATATTCGTTTAGATCCATATAACTACCAATGCTAGTAACTTTGGCTTGCATACTGACAGAACATCAGTACTACCTATATATATATATTTTATCCTTGTTACAATTTTTACTGGGTCATGGCAGGTACACTGATGGACTGTTATTTTGTTAAACCAAAACAAGAGCATCATCAAACATATGTAGTTCCTAGTTGCTGGTTTAAACGATTTGCGTTTGTCCGGCGGTAGGTTAGCTTATGTAGATTAGTTAACTTAGGCAGTTAAAAAAAAATGCGGGCAGAAGAACGCTGGCTCATGACAACCACTTCTTGCTAAGTACATCGTATCTTCGAATCTGAAATGACCATCTCAATTTGACAGGAGACTAGGAGGAGTAACTTAATTGAAAGGCTAAAAATCTTTCTAGAGGTAACAGCAATATACTTTGAATTTTCCCCTCTTCACCCGGAACATTAGTCTATTGCTATCTACACCCCCATTTTAAGACCGGAGTGTCATAGATACTCCGGTCTTAAATTGGGGTTGTACAAATACATGTACATGTATATACAGCAATATGACACTGTTCACCTTCCAGTGATCAGCCTCAATTGAACGTATTCCCAGGTCGATGTATTAACGGCCAGATTGCTTGAATATAGATCGTAATGCGATAGGGGGTTAAGAAGCGCGAAGACGCGAAACTCAACTGCAAGCCTTCTTTGACAACGTGCAGTTTGTGTCCCCTATTCTAAAGCATTGTAAATGGAGGTCTTTTTTACAGGCGAATTTTTCGTTTATCGCACTCGTGACCGGTCATCGTGCATACAAACATTCGTACGCGCAGATCAAGCACAATGTACCTTTCTCAATGGCACTTTGCTGTGGATAAATATTAATATGCCGTGCTGAATATAACTTTGGCATTACTAGTCAGATTCTAATTCATATTTTACAGTAGCAATCTTCAGCAATTACAAAGGCTGATTTCGATCGAATGGGTGAATGTAGAACTTAGGAATTGGTCTTCTAATAACCATCTAAATATGGCTCGATTACATATTGGTTTTAAATGTATTCAATTGGAAACCTTAATTTGTATTAAGTGGTATGCGTCTGCATTTCTTTTCATTCACTATATCTTGTTTAGTGTAATTATGTTCTAAAACATTTTCTGATTAATATAATAAATAAAAAAAAATTCTAATTCCAAATTCGCTCTTCAATCTCTGAACGCTAGAACGCCACCGTCGTAAAATTTGGATAATCACAATTAACAATAGCCACACGGCCAACATTTTAAAAGCTGTGACGTAGGTACGCTCGATTCAATTTGCATGCCTGGAGCCTTCGTTAATGGAAGCGCACGCTGAAAACAAAGTGCCATCGACCTTAGCCAGCCTAAATAAGGACAAACAAAATGTTGATTTTGAAAAAGGAAAAATTGCGCGCACAAAACCATCTCTTTGAGCAGAAATACACGCCGCTCTCCTATAGAATCGAAGTCGTCCCGTATTATTCAGAATACATGTCCGTAGAGTTTCCGTAAAAGAGGCTGATCCACAAAAAGAAGGGAAACCATTATTTTATACGTATAAAGCATACGAGCGTTCTAAGTGCGTCCGTTTGTTGATTTTCACTTGAGAAGACAGATTAAATGATCTATGAAATAAACCATAGTCTCTAATGTAAGTGAAAACGAACCCCTGCTTCCTCAAACGCGACGCTACCTTTTGGACTATATGTTGAAAAATTACATACGTAGAAAGCACTTGCCACAATTTAGATTTAGTGTGAGTAGTAATACTATTATTATTATTATTATATTATATATTATGATACTATTGATACTACTGATTATATAAGCCAGTAAGATTTGCAATATTTGAGACGATCTTTAAATCATCTTATCTAGGCATCATTTTTGACTGTTTTGAATGTTGTGGTTTCGTTAGAAGGCGATATGCCACAGCGACCTTCCTGGTTTCCTGTCGAAGTTCTAGCAAAAGCTGATTGACGCATGTTTGCAGATGACTTCGTGGGGCACACTATCAACTCGAGTTGTTGGAACGTCTTCCTTTCTAACCAATACATGCTAAGGTGCTTTGCTGCTAAAAGCATTGGAACAGCAGAAAGTTAGAAAGCTGGATAAGACATTGCAGAAGGTTCACAGTGGCGAACGATTCCATTTCCTGTGATGGTGGCCAAACGGAAGCTGGTCACCAGACGAATCGTACCCTTCTCCTACCGTCTGGCGGCTTTTCTACTGCTCCTCATGTTGTTTTATGTGCTTTTTTTTTGAAGCGCACCCAGGAAAACAGACGTATCAAGCAGCCACCCAGTCGTCTGGCAGCCAGTCAGGAAACAGATGGCCAACGCATCGAAAGTACCAGTGGCGTCGGGCAGCTCTATAAGGTATTCAATAGAGACCAAACTTAGATCGGGCAAGTCTAGCCTTCTGACATTATGAACTATTCCAGAACGACACACGCTATTTTTCTTCACCACTTTTTTTCGTGTCAGTCGGTTTCTCGTCTTGTTGCTAAATCGCCTCACTACCACTGCTGTCCCCCTATCTTACAGGCCCACACTATTCTGGTCCTCGGCCATCCCCGGATATCCTGCGTAGTTACGTGCTGTCCAGCTACATTATGGCTTTCCTACGCCTCTTACGATTTCTTTGTGTTATGTATGATGAATGAGGATCGTCGAACTACGGAAGTGCAGGGATCGCAAACGACGAGACGGATCACGCGTCCATTGCAAGTGTTATGGTTTGTACGCGAATGCCACTTCCGAAACCTCTTCTTTTTACTGCTGAGCGAGCCTCGTTGTGGGGTATTCCGCTATTTCTAGATTCCTTTTCACATTCTCTGCTAGCACCTGATTCTGCCTGTCTCCTAACCTGCGGTACGTAAACAAACTGTCGGCTAGCGCAATTTTCATCTTTGTCGTAGATATAAATTAAAAGCAATAAAAGAACCTTGAACATTAAAACAGTTTTACAGTCAAAAGAATGACGACCGCGATTAATGGACAATCGTTTTTGTCTCAAACTGCACCCGGAAATTATCACAATAGTACGACCCGTGTCCGGGGTCGTTGGTGCTCTACGCCTGTGAAAGTGCCACGGTTCTACTCTATTGCAAACGTTTTATAAAAATATCACCGAACCAGCAAAACCGAACAGCGCCATCACGTTCACCGGCTTGACGCTACCACGGGTCGATAATAAATTTCTACAAGTCCGATTATCGCGTGCGTCCGCCCAATTATTTTTAGAAGTAATTTTGCGATACGTTCTGAACGGTTTCATCAGATTGTCGCAGACCGCAAGGCCATATCTTACACATGAATACCACCTAAAAAAACAATACCTTGAATAGGCCTAAAAAACAATGCTTAGTACTCGGCAGACGCGTTGGAATTTTCGGAGTAGTTATTCACGATTATCAAATTTTACAATGATCGGCGATTGAAAACGAATGGTGAATATTACCGAAACGCTCTATTAATTTTCATTTGTTTTTATAAATTAACAAGCCAATAAAAGATTGGCCGTCTGCTGTCAATATCTCAATTGTAAGCAACTGGGTCAGGCGTACTAATTCCGGCGAGGCTAGATATGGAATTGAATAATAGAGCACATTATAGATAATTGTTTATACGTACGGATAATCGTGAATAATGTATGAGAAATAGTTGATCTTTCCGTCCTTCGTTCTGTCGTAAGATACACGTACATTCTCTGCGCCACCGTTTATGTGTAAGTAAGGGAATGGACTTTCCTCTAATGTTCAACGAATTCGAATTGCTGTCCTATTTCGTTCAGATAACCGACTTGGATACATCTAGAGGGCGGACTAGGGATGTAGGTATCGGTATTCTCGGACCGTTCTCCGAACATTAGAACGCCATCGTCTAAAAAAAAAGTTAGCTCAAAGTTCCGGTTACCTATGACATAATAAGCAGCATGAGTTGTCTATCTACGAATAATCGTTTGTCTGTGTATACAATGCAATAATAGAATGTGTGGTGGGTTCGAATTCCCAAATAATAACAGTTCAATATGTGGCTCAGAAATACCAAATCATGTCGTATATGTGAATACCCCTATATCTTCATCACAAGAACCCATCTTCCCACATAAAGGGAGCGTAACTCTTTTGACAAGTATAATTGCACTCTACGGGCTTTTGATTTATTGTTTTTTTTTTATTTTATTTTATTATTCTTTTATTTTGGTTGCTTTCTTTTGGTAAATTTTAGTTGCAACAGATTGCGCTTAAAAATAGCGCTAAGAACTAGCATGCAGATAACGTCTTGAGATAGCATCCTTTATACCAAAAGCTATGTGACCTTCAAACGGCATGCATCAATAAACATATGTAGGGTTCATAAACTCTTTCTCTCTCTTCATTAATATTTTTTCTATTAACCTCTAACCTGGGTATTTTTACATGAAGCGGACAAATCTATGGGGCTCGATCTGATTTTCCCGGAGTTTTCTTCTGTTAGTCACTACCTTATTACATCTGTCTCTTTCCAGTGCATTAAGTTGATCTTATTATACAACCTAGACTGAGTCAATATCACTGATGTCAAGAATGGGCCTTATAAAGTGGGTGACATTTCATAGCAATGCCATACTCATGGGTATTTTGCGGTTCTTGTGTGACATATGGACATGTTGATAACAATACACTCGTTGAGCAGATCATACGCCAAAACGAGCAGAAAAAGAACAGGCGGAGCAGGGCATACCCGGGACCAACACAAGCCCAAGGTGGGAATAATTCTACTAACAGTTACGTTTGTCGATTACTGCATTCTTCTTGGACACCTCGATTATATACCTTCAAAATTAGGCTGTTTCAAATGCACACATGAATACTGGTTGCCAGAACAGGGCATCTAATTAGTATTCATTCGTACTACTCGAAGAAAAGCCAACGTATCGATAAATATGTTTGTCCCTAATAATTATTGATGTTAATAATTACGTTTACAAATGATTGTTCTCTAAGGTATCATTATGTACCTCCTCCGTGGCTATCTCCGTTCAAAGTAGACCATTATAGGTCATGTCCATGCTGCTACTGAGCCCGCTGCCGCTGATACGATCTGCATTATGCTAAACGCAATATACTCTCTAACGGCTTGGTCTGCCCGCCTGCCTTCTCAAACCCTGGTATTAAAATGTAGTGGCCTCCCCCAGTGGGGTCACAATATCCCTCTCGCCTTATGCTCAGTGATTTTTGTCCCATTATCTGATCGCGTTCATTCTATTCGCCAACACTGTGATCGGCCGTCCTTTTAGCTCGGCTTGGTTTTGCTTACTTGCATGTTCGCTCATTTGAAGGCACCCAAGGTTTAATCGTGTACGAATCCCGCGTCATGTAGGGCGGCAGGCGTATGCCTGCGCAGGTAGCCGTGGCGTTCCTCAGACCGCCCGTTCAAAGCATTTTCTCTTTAGTTATGTGTCTCCGCTTCTACCGCTTGCTCGACAGCTTTGTCTTGATTTTCTTCTAATTGTATTGATAAGAATTGTGACACCGCTCAGGTAGATAGTAACTTGTTCGATTTACAACGCTCACTTGCGGATCAAGGAGATACGCCAAGGAATAACGGTGGTAACTGAACCAGGATAGTCAAGCTGCGTATATGTATGAGATACAAAAACCCTCTGGCCGTTGTTAGCCTTGAGCTGGATCAGTTATTTTTTTCTCATAAAAAAGCTAGCGGACTGCGGTCCTTTACAGTACGCAACAAACATGTCTTAGACGTACTTACTAGCGTTCGTGCGGTTGATAAAGCTTTTTCGAAACACTAACATGTGGCGTTGCCAACAGACAAAGCACATGCTGCGGACTCTTGACTAACTTCTAGGAACCAATACGTATACGTTCGTTTATAATCATACAGCCGCGCTGTTTAACCACCGTAGAGTACGTCTTTGGCTAAATAATTGACTGGGTATTAGATTGAATCCAAGCAAGTTAATCAGATTGGGATTTCGGTCCGGGTCTCGCCTGCCTCGAAGCGATCCGGCATGCATGTACACGTATTGGCATACATCCGCGTATTACCAAGAAGATAGATCCGGGCTAGTTTCAAGCTGGACGTTGCCAGCCGCCTTCGTTTTGGCAAATACCTCCGCCTCACTTCCTGACTTCACCGGGGGTGATGCATTGGAAGTACAGCTCTGGAGTCTTTCGAATTCTCTCTAAGCAAGGTCACCCAGTTCAGTAGGTACCTCCTGTTACCGCCTCCCAGCTTTCCCTCTCCCTTTTCCATCCGTGCTCCGCTGTTCCACGTGCTCTGTATCTGACAAGCGACAGCAGCATTCCCCGAACGCATTCAACCGGTATATGCAGACCTTTAACGCAACTTTTAACTTTTAAACTGTAAGCGTACGAGTAGAAACTGATGCCAACAGCATTTCTGGATGAATAGCTTATACGATACGGGTAATTTATACTCTAAAAGAGGATTTTCTTTTTTGCTAGAACTAGTATCAGTGAGATCATAGAAAATAGAAAACATGTCGAAACATCGTTTTTAGAGAAGGACGTTGCTGCAACACTTCTAAGCCACAGATACCCATCGTATATATCGTTTACGACTGCGTTGCCATACAAGCTGAAAACAAAACAATTTTTAAAATAAACCTCCAAATTCACGAGGCGTTATAAATAGATAAAAAAAAATACATATATGTATATAATATATATAAGTAAATAATTTATTTATATACTACAGCGTTGGATTTTACTAGCTTCACGTAACTAGAGACTCTGTAGGGTAATGATGCTTAGAGTTATGCTCTTTTATTCGTTGAATGCCTATTACCCTATAAATGAATTGCTTACCTTATTAAAGAAAGATACAATGCGAAAAAAGACAAGAGCAGACAACTGAAGATACAATCATAATGAACTAATTACCTATGCCAGATACAGATCAGTTCACCCATCTAAACTGGTAGCTACTTTTAACTAACTATAACTCCTGTGAAACCTTAATACACTAAGTTACCTCCAGATAAGATGACGGGGCCTGTATTTTGAATAGTTCACACATTAATATACCTTTGATAACGTTTATGATAGAGAGTTTATCTTTTCATTTGAGCTCATATTGACGCAAGATCTACAACATTAGGGATGAATGGAAATTATTTATACGCGCTGACAATTGCTTGTTTGACTTTTCGTCGTATTGTAGAGAACAACAGCATCTACTCGAAGAAGTTTAATTTCAATGGATAGCTACTAAGGCATTCTATAGGGTTGCTCTAAGGTTCTAAAAGTTCTGCTCTAAACGTGAAAAAGCCAAAGTTCTTTGATATACATACCAAAATAAATATACTGAATACTTTAGCCTGGACATTGCCTAGAACGTTAATTGATGAGGTTCAAATAATAACTGTTTCTTGATTTACTCCGTATACCTCTCCACTGTCCGTTTACTTTTATATGTTATAAAAAAGTGCATAGGCATGATATAATTGTGCTATAAGCGAAATTCTATCTTGAATCCTGACTGCAAGAATGTCCAAAGACAAATGTACTTGGTGAGAAGTGATGTCCTCCAGTATGGAGCAGAAAAAGAAATGAATAGTTCCTTAGTAGCAAAAAAAGGCCACACTCATCCTTGTTCGAGACAATGTCACGCTAGATACGAAAACGGTCGTTTGAACCGTTCAGGTGAGAAAAGAACCTGAATGGAAAGTTCTTTTGCATCTACCATGCGAGTCAGACCTCGCACCCATAACTCACCATCTCTTTAGTCATGAATAAAACTTCTAAAAGTACATTTGATTTCTTCTTTTAAATAAAGAGTCTCAGTAAATGGCCAGATGACTTCCGCAATTTCAGATAATATAAATAGATTGGCTCAGAGATTAGAAACCGTCGCAGACAGTGACGGGGCAACGAAGAAAGCGTCATTACTTATGTATGAAACTAACACAACGCCGACATCTAGATATTTATAGATTTCCAGTCGAGACCAGATAAGATCACGTAAAGCAAACAGGCCACTAGCGAATCAGGCACAAAATCGAACGCCGTTGCGCTGACATCTTGACGTTTCTTGCAATTAGAGAAATGCTTTCGGCGCGTTTCCATGTCGATGATGGAATAGACGATGACATTAGAATGGAGGCCTCTTATCGAGCCTTTCCTGACCCTGCTAATCGAGCCTTTCCTGACCCTGCTAAAGTTAGAAACAGGCACCAATATTTGCGGAAAGTTGTACTGGCTTATTTCCGACAACAGGAGCGGTGGTAAGCAGTCTTCTTTTTAAAGACATACCGTTGCAGGCAATTTGGACTCGATTATTCCAATATGGAATCGACGATTCTTAGTTTTGGCTTGCATAAACTGTTCCAAAATGTGTGTAGAATCAAAAACAATGTTTCCTGTATTATGATATATGGATAAGAGCGAAAAGAGTAAACTCGTGGGAACAAAATGATCCGACATTTTACGCTACTACAACGTCCCACAGCCGTTACTTTTGCTCCGATAAGACACTACTTACCATAACGTAAACTTCGTCTTGTCGCCCCTCGATGGCGCCATCATTAATGACTCGACAAGCTAGATCTTCTTGCTCGGCTGTTAAAATGAAGGCGTGCGAGCAGTTTGTCATCTTCCGTAGCTGAAAATGGAATCAAGACAATAACAACAGCAAAAACGAACTATTAGACAGACCCTACAATGCGATAAAATGAAATAATTTCTAACTGGGGTGGTGAGCACAATGTGTGCACAAACGAAGACCTCAGAGGAGAAGGTAGGTAGCAAGCATAAGCACCAAGGCTTTCCTTGGTTGGTCATTGTAATATTATCTTATTCGGCCTTGAATCGGTTAGGAGAAGGCCGAAAACACACCAAGATTTTATTCGCGCCTATATTGGTCAGCATGCCTTTAAGATGCCTAAAAGCCTGTTGAAGTCCTGGTCTTTAGTGAGCTGCGGCGTGCAAAAGAATGTCAACAAAAGGTTTTCGTCCAACACGGGAAGATCTGTTGCAGAGTGAACCACGGGTTTCGACTAAATTTTACCTATCTTCATAGTGGTGGCCTTTCGTAAGTAGAGCCAGTAGACTGTTTTTGCTATTCTCACTTCCATTATTTAACCCATCCGGAAGAGGCCCAGGTCCCGCCGTGAAGAAAACCAATGTTTTTTTTTTAGTTGTGTTTTCACTATGGTCTTTGACCTGTCAAGCTACGGAGTTAGATTTCAAACTGTGCATGGTTTCATCCTAAATATAAATATATAGTTCTGGTATATTTGTAAATATGAAAACGTGTAATGTTCTTGCGTCTCGTTCGTAGCTAACTTCCTCTTCACATCATATACTTTTACGTAGTTAAACACTTTGGACGAAAGAACAGTGACATTTTTTTGTTCTAGCATCTGTGCTTATGTAGGTGCTATACTTTTATGTATCTCGGCTGTGAGAGGTTTTCTACGATAAAAACCATGATCTTTAACGCGCATCCTAGGTATAATAAGACAAGCTTACTTTCTAGTATTTTACATCGATCCTTTCTGTGGCCAATGGAGTTGATACTGAAATCCGCATCCAAATGAAACAAATCCAGACGACATGGACATCTATTCACATATTGCATATATAGTTTACAACTTTCAGATGAGATTATGCCTATTCGATTGATACATAAACCGCACTGTATATCATAACGTGGCCTAAGGCGATCCAGGCTTGGATTATAGGCTCTTCAACTTCAACAGTCGTCTAGATCGTTTCAGTTATTTGCATAAGGCAAAACACATGATTATTATCCCCGATAAGGTTCTTCTTAACTATAAGGGTGCTTGCATTCTAAAATCGAAACGTACATACGCATATTAAACAAACGACGTCCTGCCACTGAGGACCTCTAGCATAGGGCTGTTACAGAAGCCAACGATAGTAGAAGTAGTATTGTTTTCCTTCCTTCCTTCCTTCTTTATCTTCGGGTAAATTGGATCGTCTAGCCAGAAAATGACAACTGATGTGCACACAAACGACGACAATGTGTTACTGTCGCCCACAAGCGCGGATAGATTCAGCCATATTGAGTAGGTGGTACGCTATACGGCTGTGACACGCGGTTACGAAATACGTACACCCGAGGGCTCGTCTTTGATACCCAATTGCTGCATGTTTGAATGCTGCTCGTTATTTCACTGCCAGCTTTACCTGACACGTACAGACTCATGTCCACCTCGAACGATGTACTTGTCTATGTGGAACAAATCATTTATTTTTGTATATCTGTACTCTGTATAGAGTAGAATATTACTCTTCCGTAGCGCTCACACCTACAGCGGCACAGGTGGATAGTAACATGAGTCCATGATGTTTGCACTAGTTTTAACCGATTTTGATGAACAAAGGGTTGAGAGACTAGGCTTTGTATCAAATGGAAACGGCTTTACTCAATACGTTTATGTCAAATCGGGAATAATACGTTGCTTTAAATGTTGTTTTTTGCGGACTGTTTATCAATGTGTTTGTGTCTCAAGTCAAAAGAAATACTAACTAATATTTAAAACAGGGCTACCACCTTAAATAGATGCGCTTAAAACAAATCCAGGTAACGTATTTTAGAGCTATGCCATTTCAAAATTGACAGTTACGAGAGCGTACGGAAACATGAACATCAATGAAATCAATATAGTTATGAGTCTGCGTAAGCTAAATCCTATATTTCTGACCCCTTTGAAAGGCTTAGCTTTCCACTGTGAAACCAAATTCAGCAGCGTGTAAGATTTTATTTGGGTACACAATTAATTAGCTAATTATATCGGAGTATCAAGTACAATATGATGAGTCATATTGTACAATGTATTGTAAAATCTACAGTTAACTGGCCTAGTAATTTCAACAAAGCGCGTTACTGTACATCTTTTTACTATAGTCGTATATACGCGGACACCTATTTTGCTACTGCTAAGTATTCCTATAAATGGCTATGAAATTTGCACCGAATTCTGTCCTCGACTATAACTGCCGGAGATAAGAACAGTTGAAAGAAAACACACTAAATAAAGCATTTTATACGCGCTATTTTATTCCCACAGGGAACCGGCTAAACATTTCACCACTAGCATCAAGCATAGTTTGTCTTTGACTTGTTTACCTTCTCTTCGGCGTTCTTAAGACTACGTGAAAAAAGTACGACAAAGGGAACGTATCATAGATGTGCAGCATTCTACTTTCCTTGGGCTGTCCCCTAGTCGAAAAAAAAATAGCGACAAAATGTATCACTTGCGACACTTGCTACATGCGTCAGACTTGCTGCCGGAACATGCGCCTTCACATCCTAGGCCAATTTTGCGGAACAGCGGGTGTTCGTGCGTCCAGGCACGTATACACTGGATTGTATCGCAACTCGACATTGACTCCGGGGGACTCAGATCGACACATGCAGGGGCCACGGAGGAGTTCAATGCCACTAAAATTCAGAATGACCAAACGTGCTGTGTTGCCTTGTTAAGCGAGGCTGGTCTTGACTAGAAATTTCCTGTAGGCCGTGGGCCTATCTACTAGAACAAACTTCGACCGGCTTTGTGTCGATCGGCTGATTTTCTGGAGCTGTTTGAACGACATGCAGGAAATATGCCTTTAAATAATGAAAAAAAAAAACCAACCAGAACTTCCCTTTTGTCCAGATGTCAGATTTTAACAAGGGCCGAGGAAAGGAGAAAATAAGTTGAAGACAAATTAGGAGGAACACTTCTTTGTTTTGAACAACCTGTCTTTTAGTTGTTTCACTACTAAACCAATATTAATCAACTATAACCGTAGAAGATAGACAGAACGAGTGTCCTTAAGCATGAGCCAAGACTGGTCTTCGTATTATGATAATTCTTGTTTTTCAGTAACAACAAAACTATGGTCTTGCAAACAAGTCGTCCAGGTATCTCTATTTACCCCGGTGTGCATTTTTAAGAACATCTCCCACTGCAGAAAGATAATGATTAGTCCCAAGTAACTGTCCGAAAAGCTTTACGGGATTTATCTATAGACGTTATTGATACTGCCATATGTTTAAACACTTTCTATGCCACTATTTATGTATTCTTATTTTGTCAATCTACCTTTGTTTCATTCATAGAAAGGTACTGTCGTCGTAGCTTGTGAGGACCGCATACCTCTGTATGTTAGCTCAAATTGGACAAAAAACAGAATAGACTGCAATGAAAAAATTCCACCTCCAACTTGCTGCTTGAAACAAACTTGCTATACTTCAGTACGCTAGGTTACGTAGTCACTATAGTGAGTCTAGTCGAAGTGTATGGTGAGTTCTCTTCAATGCGAGGTATTAATAGATACAGCCGTACAGTTATTTTTAGCATTTTCTTAAATGCGTAAACGACACGGGACCTATGAATAAGACGAGCTGACCCGGCAAATAAAGACAAGAAACAAATGCCAAGAAACGATGGCGTCTCTAGTAAAGCTTATTTGTAAATGTGTGCCTTCTGTATATGTATATATATATATTACATATATGCCCTATGTAATTATTCGATGGGGCGGCATAAGTCTGAGAGGCCAACGTACATTGCTTTGATACGATAAACCCGACCATCACTTGTTGGAATTTCAGAGTTATGGCGTATTGTTACCGTACTGTTTCATAGGTCTGCTGGAAAAAACAGATAGGTCGAGCAAGACGCGCTAAGTATCGCGTAAGAGCTCAAGATAAAAACAATAAAATAACAACAAAAAAATAAAAAAAAAAAAGGGTATATATAGACTAAGAGAAAATGTATGATATTACGAAAAAACGAGTCCAAATGCTTGCATACCAGCACCGTTTAAAACATCACAGCTACTATTCACTCTAACAAGCAAAACAAGTTTGTGTTTGTTGTTACAAAAGTAAACTCAAAATTCATTTGTATATTTAGCTAGTAATCTATTCAGCTGTCTCTTTTTAAGTAAGAAATTTAACTATCCTAATTACACTATGTCCAAATAATTAAGTTAATCTAAGTTAATCTAAACAACTGTAAAAACTCATTTCGTACTCGTCCAAATAACCCTGTATATACCTGCAACTACTTAGTCGCTAAAAACAATTGTTTTTTGGTTAGTGGCAGCGCAAATGCAAAGCTAAATATTCAAGGCGAGACAGTAAGACGAGCCTAGGTGTTTCGTAACTTCAGTTTCGTTCGTAAGTTACCGTCATTCGAATGACGATACTGTAATTAAGACCCACGCGATATTTAATATTAGATCGATATTTTTAGCCTGTCTTCTACAAACGTACGGAGAACTGGCTTTCCGGTAGCGGCGTACGTCCGTTGAGATGGCCCTGTGCCTTCAATACGATGTAAACTGTGAGTGTCACATCTAACATTGGCTAAGCAGACGGCCTCATAGTAAAAAGCGCCAATGTATTTGATGTCACTACTCGACAACATACACGGCGGGTCTCGAACGAAAACACCATATCTAAAGCAACACATCATTCTAACTAACTATAAAATGTCCTCCTAATGAGAAGATAAGATCAACGTGGCATATTTGCCCCATGCAGTCATTGCCGACTTGTTCTACCAGATCTAGTTAGTGCGCGGATTCGCGTTTAATATCTGTGATATACGTCCATATACGCAGACCGCACTCATGCCGAGGCTTACATAGCTGTATTTATTAACCTTAAGCTGATAAAAATTATGGCTAATACGGACACTACGAACGCTGATCATTAATTCTGCTATCTTAAAACATCGAGCTCTCTAAGCAACACTGAAGTGCAAAACTTTCCAATAACAGCCCTCCGACAAAAGCTCAATTAAATAATTTACTTCGGGAAAAGAACACCGACTTTGTCGGGAAACAATACAGTGTGGAGGGGGGTAACCGGGGCAATGTGGCAGGAGACGTAAAGGCGTCGTCTTCCTGATATCCAATGATATCAAATGTACAATGTGTCTTCACACTTCGTACATAATGGAATTCTGACAAATAACGCAGTCCCAGCATGGGTCGAACCTAGTTGAATATCATTTGCCGTAATCTTCAGTGAACTGAATGCCTTCGACTATTAGTTGTATGTGAACAAGTCCTTCGAATGACCTCTTCGATATATTACTAAGGATCTGCCCCTCAAGGAGGTCTAACCGGGAGATTCCTGCTGGAGCTATTGGTTTTTCCAGCAGACCTATAAGACGACATGGTAGCCGAGTAGCGATTACTAGGAGAAGTGTTAAAGCTGACTTACGTAACGGTTGACCTTCGAGTGAAGTTCGCGACTCGACGATCCAAAGAGGCTTCCTGAAAAAAAATCAACGAAAAATGAACGTCAGATCATATTTTGACGTGGGCAAACCTTTCTCGAGATAATATATAAGAAATCATATCAAGAACACGAAATCAGCAAAATAGTTCTATTTGTACAAATTCTCAATATAATTAGATAAAGTTTTCCGTACCGTTCTGTGTTGTAGAATTTTTCTTGGGATCTATGTACTACTGCCATACCTTCTGAATCTAATGAACAACTCGTCAACATCACATGAGTTATTCAACATTGTAGCAATGAACTGACTAGATAGTTAAAACAGGGAATAAACACAGGTCGTTGTAAAAGCGTGATTCTACACCTACAAGTTTTGAGTTCTCCAAGTGTACGCCATTCGTGCTAGTCATTACGAGCAATCCATCATCAACCGTAACCAACGTATGTAAATTGTTAATTTTTATATACCGATGGTAATCGAATAATTCCGCTTATTTTCCTAAAAAACGATGTTTAACAGCTCAATATCGACACAGATATAGATATTAGTGTGTTATTACAATTGTTTGCATTTTCCTATTTTAACATGCATATATTTGTTTAATTATATTTACCTGAGCGCTCTATTTTAATATAATATTACGCACAAGGAAAAATAGCGAAGACTGCATACCAGTATTTTGTATACTAATCGCGGCACCAGATAACTTCCCAAAACGGCTCGCGTACATCCGTACATTTATCGACGTTAATGGCGCCAAGTATTCTGTGCGTTCGTCCCCCATAAATAGAGGCAAACTCCGTAGGGACTTCAGATCAAATTGTTGCCTGAGTTGGTGCAAGCGGTTGGTTATCCATTTCGTGGGGAATTAACGCAGCGTCTTTCCCGTCCTTCGTTCGGTCCGTCGTCACCATTGATTGCTACCGTTTTGAAAAAAAGACCCATTAGGAGTGTCCAAGAGGGATGAGACCGCCGTTGACAACGGGAGATTTAGGAATCTACAGTTGACGACAACCAAGGACCAGTGGGAATCGGTACGGCTTGGGCGTCAAAGAAAGCACGAGATGCGGCAATAGACAGTGAAGCCCAAGCAACGTGCAAGACCAGGGGCTGCAATGTGCACAAACCGCGAAAGAAAGTTGAGTCCAGTTTAGACCGAACGATTGATCAACAATCTGACCTCAATCCCGGGGGGAAATAGTGCGGTGCCTGCAGTGAAGGTACTATTGTAGTTGGAGTTGTTTTCTCCTGAGCGATGGTCTTTTTTATCTCTGACTCATTCAGATAGTGACAGGAGTCTTAGAAAGACACACATGCTTGTTCCTAGGTTGTCTCGTTTCTGGGACTGCTCGTAGCTTGCAAGCCCATACCAACTTGCTGACATCGCTCCAGCAGCCGGCTACTGATAGATCTCTCAGAAAAGAGGTCCTAGCCCTAGCTAGAGCCCGGCAGGTAAGGCTACCGCTAAAATCGCTGCCGTCAGTTAGAATGTAGGAGGAGTAGAAAAAAGGAAGCCAGTGACTGGTGAGCTGTGATCAAACTGGGGAGCGAAGAAATGATGCCGCAGTTTCGCATCCGGGTCAACTTTGACGTTGTGGAAGGGTGTGCAGGTGCGGGAAGGCGTGGCCACAAGGGAAAGAACAGGGTGCTCACAAGCGGTGCCAGAGGTTAAAGGGAGTGCAGGGAGCGGTTTATAACACAAGACGCTACGTGGAATTTTCATTCTTGGCGGCAAATAAGCGAGTTTTGGATCACTATCTACCACGTATCATTGTGCTCCGTAGGATTTGTCCATTTAAACGTCGTGTAATGTACCTTCTGTACATAGCTTAGTATCGTTAAGGTTACGGAGCTTTAGAAACAAGCCGACAACTTCATCTTCAACGCCTACGTGGTAAAATTACATGCTGATCTCAGTATGGTGCAACGGATGTACTATAATAGATGATCTTTACTTCGTCAAATGCCTATTGATGTACGGGATAGAATGTGAATATGAATCGTTGAATCCTCAATTCATTCCAGACACCCACCAAGATTTCTATGCAGTAAAAATATCCTCCAATATGTGGGCTACATTATTTGTCGTGTCGTATAAAGACGTATGCAGATCGCTCCCTTGAATACTGTTAAACATTTGCTGAGCATCGTATATTTCTAGGGTACCGTTCTTCTGTGAACTTTCGAAACTGCCACAACGTTAATCAAAGGCTCGAAGGGTGTAACATATGTGTACGTTTCAATGACTACAAAGGCGATAACAAATTATTTTCGAAAAACAGAAACGCCCACTTATAGAATAAACTTCACAACGAACTAGCAACAGCAACGCCAGAAACGAGCGCTCTGCGAAGTCTCCATCAATGAGCACATACAAAATAAACGAATAAACGAAACATACACTTGACAAAACATTTGTAAACACTTGTAACGTATACGAATCCATTCGCAAATGTCTGTCTCGTGTTTATGAGCACAGGACCTAACAGGTCTTACAATCGCTATAAGATTTTTGTAAATGATAAAAATACAGAAAAATCAAAGACTATGATAGTTAATAGAGGTCATCGACCATATTAAGTAGCAAGTTGTAGAAAATCAAATTATCGTTAATGGTTCTTTTAGGAATCGCGAATTACACGAAATGGCGCATTTGGCCTTTTTATAGAGTTGTCCAGATTTCCATCACATAGCTTCTTATTGTTGAAACGGCAATAGAAACTGCCGTCCAATATAATATAATGCAATCCAATTCACCATCGTAAATGAACGTTGGTGAATGAACGCTTTTCCAGGAACTGGCGATTATCTCACATACATATCTCCTTTTTGTCTTATTCTTTCTCCAACTGGAGAATATTTACCGCATCATTTTGTTGTGTTCCTTTCGTAACTCGTACGTGCACCCACTGACAACACAGCCGTACGATGCTTTTCCTACTACTTATGCTATCTATTCCGACACAATTTTTTCCCTTCTCACCTTGGCCTATATTGAAGCAACTGAATAGTCGCAACCTTCAGCCAGGCCCACGTTATGCTTCAACGGTTATCGACAACGCCGTGCGAAAGATAAGTTGCCGTTGCGATATTCGCTAGAAGCGTTGATGCCATCGATGCGCTAGTTGGGCCTTCAGCCAGTAGCAGACCAGCAAGCGAAAGAGTGATTCAGTGTAAATGCAGAGGGACCTAAGCCTAGCTAGGCTAGACAAAACACGATATAGCACACCGCACATGGTGCCCGAAATATGCGTACAGCAACGCCGTCTATCCATCCATCCATCTACCCTTCTATGTTGTAACAGTAGCGGCTTGCAACGCGGTTTGTAGTCAGACCGCTGAAGAGCTAACTGACTGACCGACCGACCGACCGACCGACCGACCAAACTAATCAAGCGAAGCTGGTGGCGGGCACATTATCTCAGCAGGGAACTGAGCCAACATCCAGCAGCTCCTAGCGGCCTTCTTTCGCCAGCCTGGCCCACTGTTTGCGGTAGTGAGAGACGCTACGGTATAGACGCATGCGTGTGGTGAGATTGTTCGTGGCTATGCTCGTCACTCACCCTGCTCCTCGCTAACCAACCTGCTTTTCGCCGGCGGCCGGAGACCGACGCAATGGCTGTAAAGTTTAGGGTCTCCGACGGCCTCTGACGATTTTTAATCAAATTCGGCTCCACCTCTGCCCTTGATCTCCTTATGCCACAGACCTTTTGCCTTCACTATGGACAAGCCGAAAAGGTACCGTCGTCATTGCGCTGCGCAGTCCACTAGGAATGCTATTGGGTGAACATTCGATACTAGCCCGATTTCTAACGGTTCTGTAAAATCAACATTAGTAAAAAGTCGGCTCAACGGCAGAACGAGCTGCAATAAGTTTACGACCCACTGATCGAATCCCTTGCGTATGTGGTTGGTTACTGAAGCAGCGAAAGAGGACATCTAGTTGACCTGTCTTTAAACGAACCCTTCGAGCATTTTGGTGTTGACGCAGGTTCTTCCATCGACGAAATGCTGGTCGGTCACCGTGCAGGACATCTTTCTCTGCTGTTCGGCTTTTTCACAGTAGCAGATTCGGGTGTGCAGCGTCGCGAATGGCGGTATAAATCGAAGGTGGAAACGTGAACGCATTAAAGCATTCTAGGAGACAAATACAAACTAAAATTCTGGAGGCTTCCAAGTCAGAGTCAATTCGAGATTTCCTATTGAGTGAATATAATGCAGATTTTGCTTCCTTACGCCTTATGTCAATAGCCACCTTGGATTTTGTAACAAACAGCCAGCTATAAGCCAATGTTTTTTTGATTTTTTTTTTCAATCAGTTTGTCTACTTGGTACAACAGCCCACTTTTTAGTGATGTTTATAGTACCTTTCATTTCTGTCCACTTTTGTTTATTCATCGATTGAAGCAAGTTGTAGAGAAATAGGAAATCGATAACTCTTACTTTTCCTATTGAAATTTCTTTATATTCATTCATGTTCTGTCATTTGTTGACTGTGTTTTTTAATATTATACCCCGCTTACGCAAAGCATCCTTACGACTCTGATCTTTAATAAAAGCTGTTTATACGGCCACCACAGAAGTGAATTCGACCATTCAGTTTATGGGCGATGATCTGAGATAAAAATAAATACGAGTACACCTGACTCCTGCTATTAGAAATTACAGACCCTGCCTCTAAGCAATCGAAAAGGAGGCAGATACAACCTCGATTCGATTCATTCTAGACATATGTGAGGGCAGCCTTGCCTTAAACCTTGCCTCACTAACCATTATTACAGAATTCAAATGATATCTGCTTCTGCTGTGAAATAGACAATATTATTACATAAATTGAATGAAACCAGAGACCGATCAGAACAAGCTAAAAAAATCTATTTGAACTTGAACAGGTACACGAATATTCGCATAAATGCGCCGGGTCTTTACCTTCCAAGCTATTTCAATAAACATTCGACGAAAGCATCGTAATGAACCAATAAAAAATTGTTCATCCATAATAGACAAGAGGCACCCGCGCAGGTCCGCCATGGGTCGAGGTGAAATGGGACTGTATGGACCGCAGCAATTTGGGCATATATGAAATATGCCAATCTTACAAAAGAAATGAAACGAAAAATCGATTCAGAGTACAATTCAATGTTTGTAGTTATGCGCATCTGTGTAGACGCGTGAAGTTCAAATGAAGTATCGTATTTTCGCACTCATCATACCACGCGTTACATGGGTTGTCACTGGAAAAAGTTTTACTAGCATAAGGCATCGTTCGACCCACACAACAGTAAGCGCATTACAGATAATTATTTACATCGAATAATGTATAACTACGACTGGTTTTGGTCTGCACGGCGCTTAGCCATATCAGAAGGACGCACGATGGAAGAATTGTGCTATTGACCCTCAGCCTTTAGGTCCTGCCTGCTTCCTTTCATGCCATTAAGCAGCCCCATTATTCATATGAAACATTCTTAGCAGAAGTACGCTGCTACCGGTACTAGTGCAACTTAATATAATCGCTCTCCTTTCCGTTTCACTGCAAACGTTTTTTTTGAGAGGTTGCGCAGTGCGGTACACAAAATACGGCAAGGACCTTATGAAAGGATTACGAAATGGCCTGTTCTAACAGGCACTACCTATTCAATGAATAGGAGCATTGTGTGGTTCAGCCAACGGAACTGATTCTCGGTTTCGAGCTTTTACAACTTCCTTCAAAAAAAACGTTCAGAAAAGTTTTTTTGAGAAAAAGCTGTTGAACAGTTGGATTTTGAGTCCAGAACAGCATCTACATCCGAACGAACTCGAAATTTTTTTATATGTTTTGTATTTTACTAGTACGTTCAATACTGGCTGTTCTCAATAAACTTCAGAAACAGATTTTTAAAGCACACGTACTCGAAGCGAACAAACGCGAGCTACGAAAAGATCCTGAGCTGGAATGACACGATTAGAAGCCAGTGTTCCATAAACATAAACATACAAACGGCTTAGGTGTAAGCAATTGAGGTTTCTGGTTTTTTGCTTCGTATAGCATGAGTTGAGATAAACAATTAGCGTAGAGAGCTTCCGGCAGCTACCGATTTTCAGTGCCTCGTCTACACTAACCTCATTTACTGCTCTGCTCGCTACTCGAAACGTAAGCCACTGCCCTCAAGGTTGCCTTAACGCCTATTGTCCTTTGAGACTTCTTGACCTTCGGGTAAACACGCAGAAACACTTCTTCGCCGAGCTTGTCCATGACCAGTGGTCGCCACACCCGGCTTTCGATGGTTCACCAATGGTTCCTCTGTTCTTACGTAACTTATATTCTTGCATATTACGTCAAAGGAAAAGCCTGTAGCAATTTAGCATCGCCACATTTGCGATGTTTCGAGTTCGTTGTTGCATTCGATTCGCTGACGGCTGCTGCTAGACGTTTTCAGAGAACGTTTCCTCTGAAGAACCATATTTTTTTGAGCCTGTATTTATTTCAGTCGTAGAATTCGTCACGCGAGTCGCTTAACCTCCTGATAAAAAATGTCAATAGAAGACTCTTTGGAGCCGTTGTTGGAGCCTTTTTTTTAAATCTCCTTTCAGATAATTTTACCGCAAGTGCATCATGCAGGCCGGACCTACCGGTTAAGGTTTTTTTTTCTTGGAACTAACCAAATTACTATCATGTGTCCCTTGACAGAACAGTTCCGCAAAAATTTGGAAAACAACCCTAATATAGATAAGTAGTAATTATGTTACTACTTCCACCCTAAATATTTGATAAGTAATAATAATGAAATACACATATTAAAATTTGATTTTATGTGTTTTAAAATAAAACTCACCTTTGGCAGCTCGTAGATCAAATACTATTATATAAATGGTTTAGCGCCATCTTTATCACTCGTTTTGTCGCTCTAGAATCGCCCTGATATTCATTTTCATACTTATTGAACGATTGTTATTTTCAACATACTTATGAACAAGAGACATTTGTATTGACGAACAAATATATTAGTCAAATCTAAAGATTCTAGTAGATTAATAACAATAGTCCGTTAAAAAATGGCTCTATCCTCTATAGAGAGCAACGTAGAAGAAATAATGGCATCCAAATGGGCAGTTGTTATTGGTGCGACAAAGTGTCCCCGACAGGACCAACCATGCCTTGCCCAAATATGCCGATCAATTCAAAAACACTATGACTAAACACGCTCCGCTAGCTTCTTTAATGTAAGCACCAGAACGAAGTTAGGGATGCGCTCATACAAAGCACCGGAACCGATCATACGGGGTCTGCATATTCCTTCGAATCCGCCGTATGCGTAAAAAATCGGGCGCAGCTACTATACTTCTCAA